TTTAGACATTTGGGTTTTTAGTGAGACAGGCTTGATTTGCTCTCTGGCACATTTATATGTCGTTTTGGCAATCTACGGTATCTGTCATACTCTCCTCCAATATCATATTTCTAATGAGTTGATACTTTTCCTGTAGGCATTCTTCACTGTCCAGTTTTCACAACTATACATAGCAATCAGGAATAGTACATCGATAATAAATTGTAGCCAAAAATGAATAATAATACATGCTATGTTTTGCTATGGCTCAAAAATAACAAGTGTTACATTATGTACAGCAACTTAAAAATATTTACAAATATTAGATTTTGGTGCAGTTGTAGTAGAGATATACTCTAGAAGCTGTTTAAGACCAAGCAAAATCATTATCGACTACAAGACAAACCAGTTCACAGCAGAAATAAAGAGAGGCAACAGCTCAGCAGTATAGCTGGTCCAGTTTGCATTTTAAAGAACATCCAGGAAAGACTTTGGCCTGAAATCTCTCTCCCTCCCCTTTCCCAATTTAAAAATTCCCACGCAGAAAGCAAAACCCACAACTGAGTATCAATGAAAAAGAGAAAGTTGCATATTTACAATTATCTGTCATACCTCACATATCAAACTAAAATGTCTGACAGACACATCTAAAATTATAGCCAATACTTCTATATCAGTTGTCCTTGATACTATCCCTGGAAGTCTTAAAGACATTGTCAGTGTAAGCAGAAGTAGTACAGGACCACAGTTTGACTCAGCTTAAATCATCTTCTGTCCAGTTCATACAGGTTTGGATTAATACATTTAGATGCATTCCTCATAAGAGAAAATATAAACTGAAGCCATGAGTGACTGACTTCATAAGCCCCATCTTGCCAAAATAGATGTGCAGAAAAACAGAGCATGAGGTCAACATGTAGACATCTCACACACATATTTCGCTGTGTATCCAACATAGGAAAATACAACTAGCCATAATTTTGAGTGTATGTGCATAGGCAACAACAGAAATGCCTGTGCCATTACCACGTAATATGACTAAAATTTCCTACCTAGATCTACTTTCTATGCAGGAAATTTACTCTTTACCTCACCAGCAGTCCCACTTTTAATAGGATTATTCCTGAGTAAATGAGTTGTGGACTGATGCCTACAATGCTAATCCAGAAGACAACTGTATACACATGCTTTTACAAGTTCCAGTGTGACTAAGAATAACAAAACTTTCCACATTAAACGCATGCATGTGAGATTCTTTACATTTTAACATTCAGTATGTTATAAAATAATTTCTATAACTTTGGTTAGGATTTTAGCAGAAACCGGGATGTATGATACAGCCCTGCTAGGAACAAACCTGCACACAGCGATTTATCAACAGCTTTGCATGTCAGCCTCTAAACAAGGCCGAGCACTAAATCAGTGTTAAATTCCTCACATGCAGCTACACCCAGTTAATCTGCTTGAATGCAGCAAACTATGTAAATCTGCTTATGCTGGTGAGATAAATGTAACACTCATCAAAATATAACAACATGCAGCAAAGAAATACTGTTACTCGACAAAGGTGAGATCAGGGAGAGAAAAAAGAACACTTCACAAAGCAGGTTGTCTTGCTACACCTTGAGTCAAGCCATATTCTACAAGTTTAAAACAACAACATGTACTTTTACCCAGCTACATGTTATCATTTAAAGAAATCTGAGATGAGTAAAACCTCAGTTCCTACAAATGAATTACAATTACTAATCAAGTTTCTCCAATAGCTCTAGAGATGCCAACTGTGCAGAATGTACACAAAGCTGTGTTTTCACAACTAAAGCTTAGATGTTTTTTTTATTTTTCACACGTGTAATTCAAATTCAAATCGACATCTGAGAAATTGCTGTGTGTCTCACACCAATATTCATGAGAGACAAAACTCCACACTAAAACCACTATTTTCATCAGCTGTGAAAACACCTTCAGTCTCTATTCATATCTATCAGGAGACTCAATGAAACAGTTCCAATTTACACAAAGAAGCAGGGAAGTCAGGTGATGAAGAGATTTTCAAAGTCGTGATTTTTTAAAAAAATTATTTTTGGGAAAGAGCTGAAAACTGACGAAGTGGCCTTTTTGCTGGTAAAATGATGTTTTTAATTTAAGTATTATTTCTGCTGTTAGCTGAAACATAAAGAAATAATCAGGAGGAGGAGAATAGACATGCGTTCAATTAATCTATACTACCCATTAATCTAGTGCTAGTTTCAAAAGTTCTTTCAGTAAGGTTAACCTGAACTCAGAGGAAGTACTGTAGCATACTCCAGTCTATCCATGATGCAGGCAAATTCTGTTTTTAACAGATGATTTCAGAAAGTGTTCGTTGCTCATTGCAACATGCTAGATAGAGTACAGTATGCAAAGGGATCTTGCAGCACCTTTGAGACTAGATGAAAAAAGAAGTTGGTAGCATGGAGTTTCGTAGACTTGAGGAAGTAGGCTCCAGTCTAGACAGCTCATTCTACCAACTTCTTTCTCTCAGTTAGTCTCAAAGGTGCTACAAGATCCCTTTATGTACTTATTTTCCGGACTAACATGGCTATGTATTTGAATACTAGAGTCCAGAAAGAGACAAGGCACTACCTATCCCTTTGTGACCTGAAAAAAGAGTGCATGCTGACTGGCTCCTATGAGTAACACATTAGAGAAACAGGAAAGTTGTATAGCAGGTCTTTGCTCACAGTACTGCAATTATACACTCCTTTGTAATACAAACAGATTATTTTGAAGGCAATACTTTCATGCACATATGAAAGACATATGGGCATCATTTCAAAGACTGAAATTACCATCCAGTAGCTTCTGTCTACAAAATTTGATAGAATGTGTTTCCTTTGGCTTCCACATTGTCCCATGTTGTCAGTCCCCACAGCACAGGACAGCTCATTAAGCATCTCCACAAACAAATAGATCTTCAATCATATATCCACCACCACCACCACCACCACCTCCTCTTTCATTCCCTGCATTCTTCTTGTTATGTGCCTTCAAGTGGCCCACAAGCTGTAGCAACCCCATCATAGTATTTTCTTGGCAAGGTTTATTCCAAAAAGTTTGTTATTTGCTCCTTTTACTTAGAGAGAGAGAGAGAGTTTTATCTAAAATCATTCAAGGTTTCAATGTGTGAGAGGGAATTCTGAAGTCCTAGTCCAACACTCAAACCACTGCACTGAGTTGGCTCATCCTCTTACTTGGTAGTAATCACACTGAACTCAACTGGACCCATTTCCGAATCAACATGGATAGGGCTGTGTTAAATTATACTAAAAAATCATTTCAAAGAAAGTTTCATAGTTGGGGGGAGAAGCAGGGATCGTTCACCATGGTTTAAAAGGATAATATAAAAATATATAAAAATATATGTGTTTTATTCAGATTGATTTGACTCCTCTGTCAAATTTAAAATATTTATAAAATATTTTAAAATATAAAGCATTACATAGGAAAAACTCCCAAATTCTGACATTGCATACTGTT